AGTAAATGAGCTTACTACTATTTATTGGTTAAGTAAATTTAATCATTAAGTCAGTCAGTTAAAACGTAGAACTTTGTACGTGCGTACATCTGTTCAAGTTGCCATACCACATTAACATAGAGACGCAACTATCAGCTCAAATCCCATAGTGGTACAGATAGTAGAAGAATTAGCGGTAATGGAGAAGACTAGGGAACGTTACGGGGTTTAAGTCATTCGTATGAACATCAATATTTATGATACAGATATTTCCCAATGATGAGTGTGAAATAGAACGAATCGTGTGTCTTGAATTCGATTGGTAGTTTGTACTCCATCTGTTTTATGATTCGGCTTATATAGCACATCCTAAGTGGCTTAGGTATTTAAGTTTAAGTTGTCATACCACATTAGCACAGAGATGCAATTGTCAATTCAAATCCAACAGTGATAGAGATAGTAGAATTATTAGCGGTAATGGAGAAGACCAGGGATCGAAGATATTATTCAAGAAGTATAATAGTTCAGTGAGATAACTGTAGAAAGAAAAAGATAGAGATGATAAGGAATTCAGAAGATTAGAATTTGAGAGAAGACAAAGAGTAGATGCACCTGAGCCATTAAAAACGATTTTGAGCCCTGTCATTCAAGGTCTCTAACCATCGGTTACTCGTACCAGCAGACGATACCGAATTGGTTAAAATCAAATCCTTACTACACCCCATAATATCTCCCTGATCTTCATGACTAACTCAGTCAGTCAGTCAGATGCACCCTAGAACTTTGTACGTAAGTACATCAGTTCATGTAGCCATACCACATATTAGCACAGAGATATAATTGTCAATTCAAATCCAAAAGTAGAAGAGGCATTAAAGGTATTAGGAGTAATCGGAGAGGTTAGGATTAGAAGATATTATTCAAGAAGTATGATTCAGTCAGAAAAGTTTACAAAGTCGAAGAATCCAGAAGATTAGGATTTGAGAGAACACAGAGAATAAATGCACCGGCGCCATTGCAAACGATTTTGAGCTATGTCATTCAAGGTCTCTAACCATCGATTATTATCATCTCGGGGACCCCAACCAGGTAGTCGACAATTACCGACATGGCTCAGTCCACTAGTCAATGGCTTCATGGATTTCTGCCATGTTTTGGTTTGGCCGCCCCTAACTTTCTTCCAACCTACTCCTACACTACAAAACATAGCTCGTTGAGGCAGTCGGTGGTTAGGCATTCGTAACACATGTCCCAACCACCTCAACTGATGAAGTTTCATTACTTCATCGATCGATCTGTCATTCTTACCTAGCACCCGTTTTCTAATAACAGAGTTGCTCACTCGGTTGTCCCACGATATACGAGCAATGCTTCGAAGACACCTATGATCGAACCAACCAATAACCGACGAATATCTTCTACTCTCACTGGCCATGTTTCCGTCTCCGGCGGTAAGGGTGCTCATTAAGGGCCTTTAAGAGTGGAGCTAATCCTCATGACTAACTCACATTTATTTATCACCTTGCGCCGCTAATGCAAACGATTCGAGTTCCTGAAATGTTATTCCTAATCTCCTTACATTTCATCACTAAACTATTCATATTCTACTCAAACAAATAATCGTTCATTTTTTCTCTCGTGAAATTTTATTTAACAACAAGTTGTTGTATAGGTCATAGTTTATCATGTATGTCACAAATTCTAATTTGCTTCAATTTTGTTCTCTCTCTTCTACATTGAAAAAAGAAATCGAGAGAGAGAGAGAGAGAGATAATCAATTTTGTTTTCTGTTTCTGTTTGAATGACCCAGACAGTTGAATCGGATCAGATTCATCAGTTTGTTGATTTAGTTAAAAAATTTATTTTAGTCTTAATCTTACTATTTTTTTACTACGTGTTTTACATATGAAAATAAATTAATGTCCGAATTATGTTTTTTTATTGTTAGCGTGCAAAAAAAATAGAGTCGACTATTTATATTATCACGCCTTTAAGGTTATTCATTAGTTTAAGTGTGTTTGTTGATTGCAAGCAAAAAAATATTCACCGACTCCATGTGTGTGTGTGTGTGAGAGAGAGAGAGAATGTTTACTTGTCAAATAAAAACTTGTGAATTTGATAAGTAATTATTATTGTGACATTTTTTTAATAAGCCTTATTGTTCAAAAAAAAAACTAATCAAAATTCCTTTTCACTACTTACATCATAATTGATATTTTTGTAGTGTTAAATTGCACTACTCCGGAAGTGTAGAGAGTCTGCTCTGTCTCTCTCTCTCTCTCTCTCTCTCTCTCTCTCCGAATCCCTTCATATGGTCACTATCACGGAAGCCTTACTCATTGCCTTCTTGTAGTAAAATTATTATTTGCAAGATTGAGGGAATGAAGTACAAATATCTCATGCTTAAATCAGGTTGTTAGATATAGGGAATCCAAGTAGGGCAGTTAGAAAACCGTAATTCCAAATCAGTGGTACATATGATGAGCTTCAACATCTTCAGGGGACCTATTGTTAGTGATCGACCATCATGGAACTATATCTACTGATATGACTCTACTGTCTTATGTATGAATCAGACTTGTTGTAACTCGTATATCCTGGGACACCCGAGTGATCAACGCTGTTATTAGGAATCGGGTGCTAGGTAAGAATGGAAGATCAGTAGATGAAGTAATGAAACTTCATCAGTTGAGGTGGTTGGGACATGTGTTGCGTATGCCTAACCACCGACTGCCTCGTCGAGCTTTGTTTTGTAGTGTAGGAATAGGTTGGAAGAAAGTTAGGGGCGGCCAAACCAAAACATCGCACAAATCCATGAAGTCATTGACGAGTGGACTGAGTCATGTCGGTAATTGTCGACTACCTGGTTGGGGTCCCCGAGATGATAATAATCGATGGTTAGAGACCTTGAATGACATGGCTCAAAATCGTTTGCAATGGCGCCGGTGCATTTATTCTTCGTTTTCTCTCAAATGCTAATCTTCTGGATTCTTCAAGCCCGCTAGTTTTGACTTTCTAAACTTTTCTCACTGAATCATCCTTCTTGAATAATATCTTGTAATGCTAACCTCTCCGATTACTTCTAATACCTTTACTACCTCTTCTACTATTGGATTTGAATTGACAATTGCATCTGTGTGTGCTGATGTGGTATGGCAACTTGAACTGATGTACTTACGTACGAAGTTCTCCGTTGCATCTTACTGATTGAAAGTCATGAGCAGTGCTCCTCCAAGTAAACCAAATGCCTCGGTTCGGACATTTAGACAGTATTGCCACCCCATTTGTATGACGCATTAATGCCTTGCCCCGCATAGATGATGATATGCTAACGCTTATCGGTTCACGCTGGAATTCTTGATTTTTTTTAAACCGTAATCACATTTTATAAAAATTAAACAGGTCAATATCTATAACTTTTGTATTTTTAAACTGATATTGATTTCTATAAATAAAATTTCGTGCACAGCTCTGTGGATAATGAATTTTCTTTTATTTATAAGGACACAGTGTAATAGTTTAAAATAATAAGTCAACATTTACAATGAATGATCAAAACACATACATTCAACCTGTAATTAATGCGTATGTTTTTGAAAAAAAAAGAGCCTACATAAATATACTAATCTCTTATTCTTTCTCTATATCACAAAATAAACTTTGAAAAATGTAATTTTCATAGTTTATCATTGCGAATTATTTATGTCACTTCGCTTAACATATCAATTGCTCACTATTTGAAAAGAAAACTCCACTTGTAGCTCTTCTAAAGTTACTGCCGATCCTAAGCTCACCTGATAAAGGAGGAGAGTTGGATCATGAGGCTGGCGACTCCATCCCGTAGATATCCAACTCTCCAACTAAACAACACTAAACAGAAAATAGATAAGTCGCTGGTCGGCAGCCTATGCTCCTTTAAGTGTTAACAGGTGTAAGTAAGTAAGTAAGTTAGTTAGTATAGAACTACAAAACTATACATCTGTATTCAGTTTCCCTTAGAAACAAGTTTGCAATATTTATGTAGTTAGTACTAATAATTCCTGAGTTTACTAGTATCTATTGTTCAAATTTATTGGTTCAAGTTTTAAGTTGGAATCTGCATTTTTACAACTGAACAACACTTGGAACTCAAAACAACTGTCAAAAAACACCGAAATCAGGATTTTCAATACAAATGTCAAGACAGTTCTGCTGTATGGAGCTTAAACTTGGAGAGCTACCAAAGCCATCATCCAGAAGATAAAAGTATTTATGAACAGTTGTCTATGCAAAATACTTTGAATCCGTTAGCCAGACACCATCGGCAACAATCTACTGTGGGAAAGAACAAACCAGATTCCAGTGGAGGAGAAAGTCAGGAAGAAGCTATGGAAGTGGATAGGACACACACTACGAAAAGCACCCAACTGCGTCACTTGGAACCCTCAAGGTCCAAGGAAAAGAGGAAGGCCAAAGAACACATTACGCCGAGAAAAAGAGAAAGACATGCAAAAAATGAACAAAAATTGTGCAGAACTGGAAAGGGAAGCTCAGGACAGAGTAGATTGTAGAACATTAGTCGGCGGCCTATACTCCATTGAGGTTGACAGGCATAAGTACGTAAGTAACTGAGTAGACAGGGGACACTGTCAGTGTAAAGTATCTGCAAGCAAAACGGTTAATCACTAGAGTTCATAATAAAAAAAAAACAATCTTTAGAAATCGTAGCATCTCATTTATGAAATAGTCTATGTAGTTACATCTACATACAGTACAATTCAATCCCTTTTTTTCCACACAACAAGTAAACAGTATTAATGCAACCGAAATGATTTTATTTAGTTCAATGCAAACAATTCTGATAAACTATTCTATACAGTTCAATTTCATGACATTAAAAAAAATTTTTTTTTTAAGACTTTAAAGTACAATCATTTTTTTTAAAAAAAGAACAATGTTTTATTCCTTTTTTTTAGATTTTTATTTTCTAGAGAAAAAAAGCAAAAAATCTGGGGAATTTTTTCCTTAAAAAAAATTTCAATGAAAATGTGAAAAATGCTTCAAAATGATTTTTCTTTATTTTATTTTATTTATCTATTCTTCTCAAAAATGGAAATTGAATATTGAATTATTAACCTAGTTGTGCTGATTGCTAGTCGTATTGTTTAAATGTATTGCATATAAGTAAGTAAGTAAGTACATTATTTCCATTGAATATTGAATTTTCAATGTTTTGCTCTGTTGCGTAGAGGTGGTCGTGTTTGATTCTACATTGAGACGCATCAATGCTACTGGGCTGTATTATGTTCGTCGACAGGTTCACCGCTTTTTGTAGGCTACGTAGGGTTCACTAATTTTTAATGGCCCCATGATCTGACTCTTAGTATTTGTGAACAAATAAACAAATAAATCTTCTTGTTACGCATGTACATATATGCTTGAATTATTACAAGTACGCAACACATGTCCTAACCACCTCAATTGATGAAGTGTCACTACTGCGTCTATTGATCTGCCATTCTTACGTAGCACCCGATTCCTAATAACAGTGTTGCTGACACGGGTTTCCCAGGATATACGAGCAATGCTTCGAAGACACCTATGATCGGAAACCAATAACCGACGAATATCTTCTACTCTCATTGGCCATGTTTCACAGCCATAAAGTAAGACGGAGCGAACCACTAAACAGTACACTCTTCCTTTAATCAGCAAACGGATATCTCGCCTTCGCCATAAGTGATGCAGGTTGGCAAAAGCCAATCGAGCCTTCTGTATCCGAGCTGAGATTTCGTCAGTCACCAGGCCATCAGCACTGGTGAGACTCCCAAGATAAGTGAAGCGGTCAACACGTTCGACTACTTCACTCCCTATCACTAGTTCAGGTGCCGATGAAACCCAATCTTGAAGCAACATTTTGCATTTCGAGGGGGAAAACCGCATTCCGAACATGCTTGCATTGTTGCTTAGGGTAGTCAGAAGACTCTGCATTTTGTCAGCGTTTTCACCAAGTAGGACAATGTCATCGGCATATTCTAAGTCAATAAGCGAAGTTGGAAAAGGAGAGCAAGGATCGAGGATCCGGTGACACGACTAGGTTACTCTAATCCGACTGTTCCAACCCTCCGTTGAGTAAAAGAAGACAAGACTTGATATGAAGTAGAACCTGTATTCTACAAGTACCCAAAAAGTACGAGGTTCGGGTCCAGGAGAAGAGAACCAGGATCCCGGACCAGGGATCCGGGTCCGGGTCATAAAAAGTTACAGATAATGCATATTTATACATTTAAGTCGAATAGGAAACAGCATTGAAGTCTGTGACATTGATAGTTAGGACGACCAATGGGAAACAACATTGAAGTACATGACATTGATAGCTAGGACGACCATAATATTGACCAGTAGGAATAAACCAATTGGAACTGACCAATTGAATTAGACTTACAAAAATAATTCTCTTAGCATATTGGATGAATATCCTAACACTTCCCTTCAGTTTCCATATATAATCATACTTAGGTGAACACCATTTATGCGACGGCGGTAATTCAGTTTGGATGAGTTTTTCTATTCAGGCAACTGTTCATGCAAACCGACCAGATAATAATACATAGAGCTTGAAAGCAAATTGAAGTGAAGTGAAGTTGGTTCAGTCACCTACTTCACTTCACTACTTCACTGAAAATTTTGAAGTAACCCTTAAATTTCTATAAATTTACATCTAAATCCGAATCATTACAATTGCGTAATATATATGTATACAAATTAACTGTGAATATCACGTAATCTGTAATCAGTCATATTGAACGTGTACATTCAGCAATGAAAAATAATCGTTGTCACAATATTCTCACATTACAGATATCATTTAATTTAATTGTGAATGCTTTTAGACCAACCAAAAACTAAAGAGAGTTCACTTTCTCTCTCTCTCTCTCTTTCTATTTTGAAATATTCTCAAGCAATCGCTACTTTTAATGCTGCTGTCTAGTTACGAAAGGATTGTTTTACGAAGATGAAAGGATGAATAGTGAATATTCAGCGTTTAAGTCACGTTTCTGAGAACAGAGGATCCACTCAAAGGAGTTGGAAAACTCTGGTAATGTACATAAACTCCGTCAGTCAGTCAGTCAGATGCAACGTAGAACTTCGTACGTACGTAAGTACATCAGTTCATGTTGCCATACCGCATTAGCACACAGAGATGTAATTCTCAATTCAAATCCAATAGTAGAAGAGGTAGTAAAGGTATTAGAAGTAATCCGAGGGGTTAGCATGAGAAGATATTATTCAAAAGTATGATTCACTGAGATAAGTTTAGAAAGTCAAAACTAGAGGTGTTGAAGAATCCAGAAGATTAGGATTTGAGAGAACACAAAGAATAAATGCACCGGCGCCATTGCAAACGGTTTTGTGCCATGTCATTCAGGTTTATCTAACCATCGATTATTATCATCTCGCAGACCCCAACCAGGTATTCGACAATTACCGACATGGCTCAGTCCACTTGTCAATGACATCATGAATTTCTGCCATGTTTTGGTTTGTCCGCCCCTAGCTTCCTTCCAACCTATTCCCACACTACAAAACATAGCTCGACGAGGCAGTCGGTGGTTAGGCATACGCAGCACATGTCCCAACCACCTCAACTGATGAAGTTTCATTACTTCATCTATTGATCTGTCATTCTTACCTAACACCCGTTTCCTAATAACAGCGTTGCTCACTCGGGTGCCCCCGCGATATACGAGCAATGTTTCGAAGACACCTATGATCGTAAGAATTTACATAAACTTCTGCATTCTGATGCAATGAATCGCATATGGACCTATTATTGATAACCATCTACCGTGGGATTGCATCTAGTGATGTTATGCTCGATTGCTTTGTGGATTAGACCTATAGGTGAAAAGCTCGGGGAGATATGTAAGGAGTTTTATTTGATGATGTAAACGTGTAATGATTCACTTCAGAATCAATAGCTGTACTTAGAAGCCATTTAAACTATTCCTCATTGTTTTGATAAATGACAGACTATGCGACAAATAACTACATCACTAATCTATAGGTAATGGATGATTACTTAAACAAATGAAGCACGATGTTAATCATGTCAGAGAAATTGATTCTCAACCACTTAGTTACAAGTCTGAATTATTTGTCCACTTACTTCAATTCCAGAAAATTGGACATTGTTGTTAGCTTCAACAAAATAACATCATCCTTGGCTGATATTGATTTCGTAAAGTTGCATTTTATTACAAAGGTACATTATGAGAACAACATAGCCTTACATTTCAGACAATAAAGTCAAATAGCTAACTTATTAGTAGGTAAGCAACAGTTCTTATCAGGGATTATTATACAATCATTTGAACCTTGAATTGCAACCGATCTGGGATCTAATAGTGTTAATGTCTTACTTCGATTTAATTTATGATCTTGCGCAATATGTGCTTATTAATGACTTACTCCGTGAGGAAGTTTCTCTGAATTCTAGCGAGAACTCGTGACTAATGGAATTTAACTCTGTTTGGGTATGAAGCATCGCTCACCAAAGACAATGACTCAGGTTACGCACCGTTGGATGCCGGTTCAGCGATCCAGAGCTTAGACGTTTGCGTACGAGACCCGGAGGACTTGAATTCGAATCTTATGGGTTTTAGGAGTCGTATGGATGCGCATTGCTGATAAGTAGTCTCATACTATGACAAAACAGCTGTCCATGTCTGTAACCATCGATTACTATCATCTTGCGGACCTCAAACAGGTATTCGACACCTACCAACATGACTCAGTCCAGTTGTTAGTGACTTCACGGATTTGTAGCATGTTTTGACTTGTCTGTCCCTACCTTTCTTCCAACCTATTCCTACATCGCAAAACATAGATCGACAAGGCAGTCGATGGTTTGGCATTTGCGTGCGAGACCCAGAGGTCTTGAGTTCGAGTCTTGTGTGTTGTAGATGCGCATTGCTGATGAATAGTCTCATACCATGGACGAAACGGCCGTCCAGGTTTCTAATGGTGGTCTAACATTGATCGATTCGTGATTTCAAAAAGTAGTTATTCATATATATATATTTATTTATTCTAACATTTTCATGTATACGCTATTTTTAATATAATTTAGATTTAATTTAGAATTCGAACCTACAAACAAACAAATACAAACAGACACAGATTATGTTCATATCGAATTTTAGTGAGCTGTCACTTGAATCGCCACCTGCGCCATCATCATCACCATCAACAACAACATCGTCGTCGTTGACAAATCGTGATTTATTAAAAACGAAATCAACACATTCTACGGTGAAATTAAACTCGGTGAATAAGTTATTGAAACGTACAAAATCTCCAGCAATCAATAGTACTACCACTACTACTACTACTAACACTACTAACACTACCATGAATTCGTTCTTGCCTTCTACAAATTCTTCCAGTTTATCGCCAAATAATCCATATAATTTTGATTTTTTCAATCATTCACCTATTTCTGATGGAAATGATCATTTACAACGAATGATTACCACACCACATACTACTGATATCAATACTACTAGTATTAGTAGTAGTAGTAGTACTAGTAGTACTACTACTGCTGCATCTGTTCTCCCGATTGTTAATTTAACATTAAGTAGTAATAATAATAGTAATAATGATAATAATAATAATCCGGTCATCAATGTGTCTGATTCGTCCAGTTCATCCAATCCTACAACTAATATGACAAGTCATAAAAATAAAACTAATCAACATCATCATCATAAGCATAAAGAAGAGACTACTACTACTACTAGTAGTAGTACACTGACAGTGCAAAAAGAATCTAACATGAATAATGCCAGCAGTGTTCCAGCTACCACTGTGCAAATGAATTCCAATGAAGCTTCCACTAGTTCAACAATAATAAAACAACCAACCAATCATCATTCAAGAACTACATTGAAATGTCCATTTTGTGATAAAGTAAGTGTGTTTGTTGGTGTGCATGTATGTTAATATTGTACTGAAAGCCTGTTTCCTCATTGTATGAAACATGAGTCGCTCGTTGGACAGCACTATTCAGGCCACTCTGTGTTTAGGGTGTTCTGTTTTCCAGTTTTTCTCATTTGTTTGCCTCCCAACTGTTGGCGTAATGTCGTTTTTTGGTCTTAGGCATTCCGAATGAAAGGTCGACCCGGTAACTCCTTTGGCTGATATATATATGCTATAATACAGGTAGTTGTAGGTTGTCTATAGAAAACTCTGAATGTCGAAACTCCCGTAAGTACGTACTTACATCAGTTCATGTTGACATTACCAAATTATCACAGAGATGTAATTGTCAATTCAAATCCCATAGTAGTAGTGGTAGTAAAAGTATTAGCAGTAGTGGAGAAGATTAGGGTTCGAAGATATTATTCAAGGAGTAGAAACTGAAGAAATAAACTTTAGAAGAGAAAGATAAAGGTGATGAGGAATTCAGAAGGTTAGGATTTGAGAGAACACGAAGAGTGGATGGCACCTGCGCCGTTGCAAACAGTTCTGAGCCATGTCGTTCAAGTTCTCTAACCATCGGTGACTTTCGTCTCGCGGACCCTAACCAAGTAGTTGACACCTACCAACATGACTCAGTCCAGTTGTCAGTAGTGACTTCATTGATTTGTGCGATGTTTTGGCTTGGCCGACCCTTCCTTTCTTCCAACCTATTGCTACATTACGAAAAACATAGCTCGACGAGGCAGTCGTTGTTTTGGTATACCTAACACATGTGCCGATCACCTCGCTGAACAGCACTATCCAGTTTTTCTCATTCTTTTGATGTTTGCCTCCCAACTGTTGGCGTAGTGTCGTTCTTTGACCTTAAACATTCCAAATGAAAGGTTGGCCTGGTGACTTCGTTGACTGATAGATATGTTATATCACAGGTAGTTGTAGGTCTTCTATAGAAAACTCTGAATGTCGAAACTCCGTAAGTACGTAAGTACATCAGTTCAAGTTGCCATATCGCATTGGCACAGAGAGATGAAATTATCAATTCAAATCTCATAGTAGTAGAGGTAGTAGAAGTATTAGCGGTAACGGAGAAGATTAGGGTCTCAAGAAATTACTCATGGAGTTCCGAGTTCTGAGTTCATGAAGTCATGAGAGAAGACAAAGAATAGAAGCATCCGTACGATTGTAAATGATTTTGAGTCATGCGATTCAAGGTCTCAAACCGTCGGTTACTATTGTCTCGCGAACTCCAACCAGTTAGTCTACATCTACCAACATGACTCAGTCCATCTGTCAGTGATTTCATGGATTTGTGCCATGTTTTATTGTGACCTCTTACAAGGTTTGCCTGAAATGTTAACAAAGTTGATCTGTTACTTGCGAAATCGGAATCTGCATCATCCTGTTTCATCACCTATTAAGTTATTGGGGTCATATAAAATTTCAAAGAAACTAGTTCTCGAGATGGTGGAGAATGCTTCACTTCTTCTATCTGAAGTTTGTGCTGATGATGTTGTTCAGAAGAACAATGAAAGCTCCACAACCAAAACAACCAGCTCAGAGAACGAAACACCACCACAAACTAGTTCTCCTTGTGTTCATTGATTCAGTGTTTCTCATTGACCACTCCCTACCCTACCTTATGGCTTGCTCTATGGCCAGTCCACTCAGATTGGTAACGACATTGCAACTTGACCTGCAATAAGTTATCGTATATCATTAGCGTGCCTTCAGTTTCGTGCGCGAACACTCGGTGTGATGCCCGCTTGGATATGCACTGCCACTGAAGAGTAGTCTGATGCCAGGACGGATCGTCCGTCCTGTGTTTCCTAATTTCTAATGATGGTCTAACATTGATCGATTCATTGCTTCAATGAAACTTAACAATCTCCACAATCCTTTAATATAACATCGTGATTATATTTCTTTTTAGTCGTATCGTTATTTATTGCGTTGCAGTGTAAACCATTGACTATTGAACACATAAAGTTTGTAGAGATTAGCTTAACCTGTCTGTAAATAGTATTCATTTTCAATTGATAGTCGAAGCAAAACAATTATTATTTACAAATCTCTACAAAAATGCTTTTAAATAGACTACCACGGTCGGTTTACTAGTCGTTCATTTTTAAAATGTTCCTGAACTTTTAATGATAATAAACGGGATGGCTGACCAGGTTCAAAGAGGAAAAAATAAACTGTGTTTCCTGTTAGATCATGCTTTATTGTCAACTTATTGAATGCCCATCAGTTTATAATAATTACTTAAATGGGAGTCAACTGGATTAGGTGGTCTTGTTAGTATGGTACTGCTTGGGCTTTTGACCTAGAACCCCCCCTCCCATCCACAAGGTAGTAGAACAATGTCAGGAGATGCAGTCTCATGATAGACAGTCGTCAACCAAGGTCTATACACCTCTTTGTTCCCTATGGATCATAGAGTCCACAGTCATCATCCGTAAGTGCACCCTCAACAGCCACCACTAACCAAGTTTAATCACGGAACAGTCACTTTTCATTCTTTGAATTTCATAACACAACAATTGTCACGAGAAGGTAATGAGTAGAACATCTATGTTTCTGGTTATCTATATACTGATAAGGATATGAAACTATTTAAAGAGGGAGGTCGAATTGTTTGACAACAACATGTTACATTGAATACATTCGGGGGATTTATCAAAAACCACGATATTCTTTAACTGACCATAGCTGCCACCTTGTCGTGGTGATAGGGCTTGCCTATCGTGATTACCCAACCGAGCTACATTGGTTGGAACATAGGTTCCTGTAGGTTCTACCATGCTGGTCAGGTCGATTGGAGAACGATGAGACTAAAAGAGGTTACTCAAGGTCTGAGGGCGAAGTCATACTGCTGACTATTGTAGAGGGGTGTGACAGCAGTAAGATTTTTCCCTCAGACAACCAGCATCTGCAGCGATGCTATCTTCTCACAAAGAAGGAAGGCGTTAGAAAAGATCGACCCTAAAAATGTCACACCTCACCTTACCTCATGGATTCCCTTCGGTGGTTAGGCCATTTGAAGAAAGGAGCTAACACTTCTAAAAAATCGCACAAAATGACCTAGAGTAACCGGCCTCATGCAGTTGATCCTTCCGCTTGGCGGTCACACTCCCAGGTCTCTAAGACCAACAGTTATCGAACTGAGGTCCTTCAAGAAACACCCTTCCTCTAGTGTTGGCAGCTGGGAATTGACATCCACCCTCATACGCGTAACAGTACACGCGAGACCAAATTGGTCACAATCAATCAAGTGATATTCTTCAACCTCAATTTGACTTTCACAATATTGAAAATGAAAACAAATTTCACTGATCAGTAAAAAAAAAATCATTTCTTTCTATTTCATTTCCTTTGGTTTGTAGATATTCAGTAATTCCAGTGCTATTGCTAAACACAAATTAACACATAGTGAAGAACGTAAATACATTTGTATTATATGTCATAAAGCATTTAAACGTCAAGATCATTTGTAAGTATGAATAATTTGTTTCAAATTTTTATTGAATCGTTTTTATTCGGTATTATAGCTTTATTTTTTAAAGAAGAAAATTATCTACTCTCTGTTTAGTAAGAAATCATTAATCAATCAGTGTTACACCACCATCAGAAACCTGGAAGCACTGGACGACCGTTTCGTCCTGGTATGGGACTCATCAGACATTAACAGCGTTGGATGCCAGTCAAGTGGTTCAAAGATTAGGCGTTCGCGCACACTACCGAAGGTCCTGAGTTCGGATCCTGTGAGGCGCAGGAGTCGTGGGTGCGCACTGCTGATGAGTACCATATCAGGACGAAACGGCCGTCCAGTGCTTCCAGGTTTCTAATGGTGGTCTGTCTAACAATGATTGGTTGGTGATTTCAAATATGTAAAAACACTAATCTCCATAACTCTAATTGAAAATATCAATCATAATTGTTAGATATCACCATATTAGGCAAGAAATCTGGGAAACATGAAGACAGCCATTTCATCCTAGTATATGAGAATCCTTAGTGTCACCATGTATATCGAATAGTAGGACCTTCGAGCTCGTATGCAAACACTTAAACTATTTGTTAGGTTCGTCACTAAGTATGCTTGAAGCTTTTAAGGGGTTCACCTTAGTTGATAAACTAGAACGAGACAATGAACCAGCGTCCAGGTAGGCTACCTTGACCCAAAAATGGCAAAAGAGAAGTCTTGAAATAGCGTAGAAAGTGTTCTATAAACACCCAGCAAGCACAATGAATTCAAGCACACAAATTTCGTTTATTTATCCATCATAGAAATGTCCTTGGGACAGTCACAGAAATAGCACACTAAAATACATTGCAACCAATCACAACCAAAGATTTTCCTGGTGGGCAATGAAATCTCAAGGTCAACTGATCAGTCCATGCTCGGAAACGTGAAATCCAAAATAAGGCATTTATCAAGCGAGTTCTCGGGGTTTAACATCCCCAACACTATTAGATCAATGAGTCCGCCATTTAAAAATATCTAACTTTTCATCCATTCAAGGTATTGTACAAGATCACTCATTATCTTCGGTATGTAATAAATAAATTGCCCCACATCCGACACGGTTGAACTCCCCTTGTGGGGGGTTACACAGTTTCTCAATAGAATTTGGAGAAATTATTCTCATGAAGCCAATCAGTCACTAGTAGTGAGTAGTATATACTTACTCACTGTGCACTACTGCTGATCAGTAGTAGTCTCATTTACTAGGATGAAACAATATGGTCCAGTGCATTCAGGTGTAATCCACAAACAATAATGATCGATTCATAATTTCAATAATACTATTTTGGTTTTAAATTGTTTTATTGATTACCGTATCTCATATATCAAATTTGATGACTTGTAATACAAGGCATCAACAACAAATGCAAGAGAAGACGACCAGTGTAGCAGCAGCCTCTGCGGCAGTAGGTCTCAACATACATAAAGGAAAAAGCGAAATTCTCCGATGCAACACAACATGCACCAACCGAATCACGCTTGATGGAGATACCTTGGAGGACGTTAACACCCTCACATATCTTGGCAGCATCATCGACGAGAAAGGTGGATCGGACGCAGATGTGAGGGCGCGGATTGGCAAAGCAAGGGCTGCATTTCTACAGTTGAAAAATATCTGGAACTCCAAACAACTTTCAAACAAAACCAAAATCAGGATCTTCAATACAAATGTCAAGACAGTTCTACTGTATGGAGCGGAAACATGGAGAACTACCAAAGCCATCATCCAGAAGATACAAGTGTTTATTAACAGTTGTCTACGCAAAATACTTCGGATTCGTTGGCCAGACACCATCAGCAACAACGAACTGTGGGAGAGAACAAGTCAGATTCCAATGGAGGAGGAAATCAGGAAGAAGCGATGGAAATGGATAGGACATACACTACGAAAAGCACCCAACTGCGTCACTAGACAAGCCCTCACATGGAACCCTCAAGGCAAAAGGAAAAGAGGAAGGCCAAGGAACACACTACGCCGAGAAATAGAGAAAGATATGAGAGGAATGAACAAACATTGGACAGAACTGGAGAGAGAAGCCCAGGACCGAGTTGGTTGGAGAAAACTGGTGGGCGGCCTATGCTCCATTGGGGGTAACAGGCGAAAGTAAGTAAGTAAGTAATACAAGGCATACTTTGACTAGTCATGCAAAATAGCTGCTTGAATAAAAATAGTAACAATGTAACGCCAAGGTTCAAGTTTATTTATAGTATGATTGAAATCTGAACACGTTAACCATTATCATTATCTGTGATTCAGTCAGTCAGTCAGTTAGCTACAACGTAGAGTTTTGTACGTATGTACATTAGTTCAAGTTGTCATAACGCATTAGCAAACAGAGATGGAATTGTTAATGTTAGAGAGACATGTCATTCAAGGTCTCTAACTATCGGTTACTGTCGTTTCACGGACCGCAACTAGGTAGTATACACTTATCAACATGATTAAGTTCAGTTGCTATTGACTTCATGGATTTGTGTCATGATTTATTTTGGCCACCTTCTAGATTTCTTCCAAACTACTACTACTACACCACAGAACATCGCTCGCTGAGGCAGTCGGTGGTCGAGGCAAACGTAACACATGTCCCAGTCACTTTCACTGATGAAGTTCCATTACTTCACCAGTTGATCTACCGTCCTTACCTTGTACTTGTTTCTTAAGAACAGCATTGCTTAATCGGTTGTCCCAGAATAAACGAGCAATGTTTGGAAGGTAGCTGTGGTCGAATACTTATAGTCTACGAATATCCTCTACTCTTACTGGCCATATTTCACATGCATAGAGTATAATGAAGCAAACTGCTCCATAGTAAACACCCATTGATTAGCAAGCGAAATATCTTGCCTACTCAATAAGTAACTCAAGTCGGTAAAAGAAAACTGAGCCTTCTGTATCCATACCGAGATTACTTCAGTCACCAGGCCATCAACACTAATAAGACTCTCAAGATAAGTGAAGCGATCAACATCCTCATCTACTTCATTTCATATCACTAGTAGTGATACTAAATAGTAACGTAAATTAAAGTGTGGAAACCACAAACAGGTGGTTTCCTCCTTGGGGGCCACTCTCTAGAGCCTTTGATCTAGTCCACTAATCCATACAACAGTAGAGCGGTATTGGGAGATGCAGTCCCATGGTGCAGAATCACCAACAACGGGTTGATACACCATTTGTTCCATCGGGATTCTGAAGTTCATGTACACCACTGGTTTGGAATTTTGGAATCAGGGTTCTACAACTACCGTCGGAGAATCCTTTGTACTCACCAATCAGGCTTAAGCGCTGTGGTACAACCGAGAATGGGGACAGTCTGCTGTCCTTCTCCAGATGTTCTGTCATAAGACCTATGTGTAAATAGTCAGTGTTAGGGAAGTCCTTCTAGTGGTAAAAGTATTGTCTACAATATTGAAAGGATTAAATTCCAATATTCAGGATCGGCTTAAGTACAGATGATTCACGTAGCCAAATTAGAAAACCGTGAGCAGGACCTCAGATCCTGTGTTCTATTCCTGCATGTGGTGGGAATCGAGGATGTGCAATACCACCGATGTGTCCTATAAACTAGGACAAAATGGCCGTTCAGTGCTTTCAGACTTTTCTAGTGATCCCCAATGGGATTAGATCAAACTGTGGATCTGCCCCTTCTACTCTTATTGTTTGTGAACGATAAAAATGATTCAATCAGTGTATTATGTTGTTGACTTACTATGATCAATAAATATTCACACCTGCACTCCGCTATATGTGTCCATAGTCATCACATTGCATACTCGTGTGGTGTTACAAGTAGGAGGGCTGATGTAATTTCCCGCCTGCCCAAACCGTGGAAGGGTGTTTCTTGAAGAAACTGAAAAAAAGTTAGATAACTGTTGGTCTTAGAGGCCTAAGGGCATGACCACAGAGCCCAAGGGACAACTGCTTGAAACGGATGACACACAGCCTTTTTAACTAGCTCCGCTGTTCAAATAGCTCTACTGTTGGGGACAAAAATCAGTGAGGTGAGGTGAGGTGTTACATCCTTAGAGTCGACCTTTTTCTAACCTATTCCTTCTTTGTGTGAAGGCAGAATCACTTCAGACGCGAGTTGTCTGAGGGAAACACCATACTCTTGTTCCACCCCTCTATAGTGAAGAGAGAGACTTCGCTCTCAGACTTTGAGTTGCTGCTTTAAGTCTTGTCGTTCTCCAATCGACCTGCCTGGCAGAGTGAGACCTACAGGAACCTATATTGCAACCAATATAGAGCTCGGTTGTGCCGTCATGGTAGACAAGCCCGACCATCACGTCAAAGTAGCAGCTACAGTCGAAAATTGCTCGCTCACTAGAGTGCATAGCTTTAAGAAAGAATTCTCAAAGTTTCAGTTAGAAAATCGTCGACAATAATAATAATAATCTATTCAAACATGTAAATTAAAAAAATTAAACGAGCTATATCATGTCACAAGATACATAAAAGTATCATTCCCAATGATCATGTTGAATGACTGAGTAAAAGAATGAACGTTAATAAAATTTTTACAGTTCTGAACTGCTTACACTTCCAACTGCCTATCAATAAATTGTTTTCGCAAGAGGAAACTTGTTGAAATATTTCATGCTGAGAATTACATATCGTGTTAAACATATAATGTTGAATGAAGTCACTATTATTATTATTATTATTATTATTATTATTAATATCGATGGAGTCCAGCTGTGTCACTTGTGAAGCAGTTACACCTTCCAAAGATAGTATTACATGGTTACGCAATATCATAAAATTGATTGAAGTGTGTTAACAGTAAAACCACCATTGGCTATACTGGCTCACTGTTCATGCTCCAGACCAAAGATTTCAGGTTGGATTCCCGTATTTAAGGTCGTAGATGAATACTACTGAAGTGTTCCCATACTGCAACAAAACTGCCAAATCATTGATCGACTCACAATTAATTACTTACTTATGCTTGTTACCTTCAATG